CACGAGAACTGGAAAATGGATGGGAGATAAAAATCTGAGAATGAGTAGAAAGACATTGACAATCTTAGCACAAGGATGAGTCATTTGATGGGCCCTACACTTGGAGTTTCTCTGTAAACGTAGCGGTCCCAGCTCAGGGTTTATGCACTGCAGAGACTCTGGCAGGACCCTCAGTGCTGATGCCAACAATGGATCTGCTTCTAAATTTCAAGTGTGGTTCAGCAAAGCACCTTTCACTGACACTTAAAGAGCCACCTGGATATACATACCTAAGGACATATGTTGGCCTGAGTTACAGTTCAGCTCTATGATTCTATGATTTTATTTGCTTTCTGCAAGCTTATATTGTCAAGTCATATTAGTGTGGGCTTCTTTTCCAGGGATTGGGTCCTAAATAAGCACAGGATTTCTCCCTTCTTGATAGGCAGGTGATTATGGACAGCACCAAGCTAAGGTCCTCTCCATGGCTCCCTCATATGAACAAACTTGCTCAATTAGCAAAAGCAGGATCCCAGTCTCCTCCCTCACCGATGCCTTTCCTCTCAGTTGAGTTTTTATGGCTTTTTGAGGGAACATTGTTGGCTTTTCTTTGCAGCTATCTCTTCATCTCATGGACAGAGATGACTGATACCAGGATGCTGGTTATATCTTTTGGAAAAGCTGGACTTGAACAGGCTCCTAAGGCTAGTTGGATGCCTGTCACAAATGATCTCCTAATCATCCAGACTTCTCTATGGATGCACTCTCAGCTCTTCAGTGCCGGAACAGTCTTAATGGTCAACTAACAGAGTCCCAGTTTCCAGTTACCGTGCTCTGCTGCTGCTTTTCCTGCTTCTTCTAGGGAGTGCCTTAGAGAATTAATGCAAAGTTTATACTTCTCCTTTGACTCTCAGCAGCATCAGTATTTTCTTCTCAGATGAGCTGCTTTCATGGATCTCCTGTGAGACACTTCCCTAATTCCAAGCCTTTTGGCTGTTAGTCAGTTCAAGATACTAATTGTGTTTGAGATGAAAAACAAGCAAATTTGGCAGTGCTAGATGAAGCTAGCATTACTCTGTGCTTCTAATGAGACATTTTAGCATAAGACATACACAAAAGTTAAGCGATCACAATGATAAACACAGTAATAAGAAAGAAAGATTATTTCTTGCATCTGGCTTAGTTTAAGACAACAAGTGCTATTTAGTATTTTCTTTCTCTACGATTTGTTTTGATGATACTTCCCAAATACCTCTGATTTCCAAAAATGGAATTCTTTCAGGAGGATTCATAGATCTAGTCTGGAAAACATTTTTTTTTCTGATTATAATGGAAACAGAGAACATCCCAAGTATCACCAAACTACTCACTGTGAAGGAATCACTCAGAAACCCATGTGTGTCTTATTTTTTTTTTTCGAGACTATTAATGGAAAGACGCCATTGAATTTATATACAGTTGTTCTGGTTGCAGTAAGACACAGCAATAATTTAAGATTTTAAAAATCAATGTAAATTTCTCAAAAGCCACCTTATGTAGAAAGCATTTGCTTCTTTTTTGCCTCTGACATTGTATCATCACTCTCTCATACACACCATGGATGTCTCAAAATCACCAATAGAGACATCGCTCCAGTAACGGCCTCCACGTGAAGGGCTTGAACGTACTCAGACAGACCCTCCAGGTGTGGGTCCTGCCTGCTGTTGGAGGAGAAGTAACTGGAGCTGAATTCTGCAGTGCACCACTTCCCTTTGAAACTTCCCACACAAACAGTTACCTGACATATTTTCACAGGAAACACCAAAATGAAAGTGATTTGGAATTATGTTCTGAAAGTTTAGTATTCAAGAACAAATTTGAGGCTGCCCTGTGATCACCAGACTGATTAAAAATGCTAATCAGAAGCTTGTATGATTAGGAGATTAGTACGGTCTGAACTTTGATCTGCCTCATTTGTGTACACAGAGAGGGAGAGACACACACAGTCACACTGAGAACGGCTTTCAGGGTAGCAGATTTCTTTTGTGTAAAGGATTCATAAAAGATCTCTTCACTTTTTCGGTTTTTGTTTCTTGCTTTCAGTTCCTCACAGGGATGGCCCCAGGGTTTCTATAGTCACTAACTGTTACCTCTAAAACAAATAAATTTTTAACAGCCAGAAAAAGGAAAAAAAAAACCTATTTCAAAAAAGGCAATATTATACTTACATTCCTGTAATTAACCTTGTGCTTTGGTTTGATCCATGTGATGTTCATAGGACCCGACAGAATTAATGAAAATCTCTCACCTGTGAAACTCAGGACCTTTAACAATGCTTCAATTCCATGGCCTTTGTGTAAACAACCTATAGGCACAAATATGGAATATCTGTGAATCACAGCCTCATCTCCAGACCCAAATTTACCTCAATTCCAGACAAACTTGCCATTGCATGTCTTAATATCAGTAAGTCTTCAGACTAGGAGTGCCAAGGCTTTGAAAATGCCTTCAGTGTAAAGAGCAAGTAAGAGAGTAAACCTGGTAAACATAAAAATCACAAGAAACCTTTGTAAGCTGTGGGGAGAGACCCAACCATCAGGACAGCCTCTCTGAAGCCATGCCTTTGGTCTGCCTTACCCATGAAGGTTATAAACTTATGGCACATAGATACTGAAAAGACAACAAACCTCTTCAATCCCTTCCAGTGTTACCATCCTTCTATTGCTAGATAAAATCTTCATACACAAAACTACAGTCTTGTCAGCACCACAACTCCCATTAAACACAGAACAAAGGGATGGCAGACTGATGTTTATTTGCCACTTTGAGTGGAAAGGGAGGCTTTAGTCCCAGAAATGAGGTGATAAAAAGCCATATGAAAAATTAGCTCTCAAGCATTATGACAGCTGACAGGGTATGCAGCAGCATCTCTACTTACATGGCCAACTAACACCTTCACCAGAGCTTAAAGGCCTTCAATGAAAAAAAAAAACAGTCCAGTATAAATAGTCCTGATCTAAAGGGCTTCAGTTGCCTTTATCCAGCTTCCCATGCCTCTGCATTTAATTAGCCGGTAAGTTCTTTCAGTCAGGGATGGCTTTCATCATTCTGGGTTCAACTGTGAGATTTCCTACATGGCCATGGAGAGGGTACATAAACTGACTTGTAATCTTCTCTACTACCTTTTTTGTACTAGGCAAGAGCTTTCAGAGTTACTTTTTCTCTCTCAGCACCTATAAAAAGAGGATACTGGGGTACGTCTTAGTGCCAGTCTTCTAACATGCAGTTGTTTTCCTGCTTTTATTTGTGAAGATTTGCTTTTGTAGGCTAGGATATTTGTATCATAATTATGACAACATTAGAAAAAACGCCAGTTATGAAGCGTTGTATGTTCTGAAGTACAAGGACAGAGATCCAGGGGGAATCACCCGAAAGGCCTTCCATTGTAAACTAAATCCTGCATCAAAAATAGTACCAGATGAGTTAATCCCACCTCGTCTACACGCACTCCCTTGCACGCACAGCATTTCTGGATACCTGGAAGGAATACAGAACCAATGCCTGTGCTGTTGTAGAAAGTTCTCAGAACTGTTCTTGATGGCTAACAGTAACTACTTAATCAACATAAATACCACATTTTATTTTGAAGTGCCATTTCCATTAATGGAAGTCTGTCTTGAAGTTCATCCCGGTCGGCCTCTCGCTGAGGCACCCTGAGGCTCCCTCCTCAGCCCTGCTCTAATGGCCGCCCCTGCCCCTCAGGGCCCTGTCCTGCCCGCCATGTTCCCAGTAGCTCCTGCAACTCAGGCAGCACTGACCCTGCCCACCATCTCCCAAACGGTCCCCACACCTCAGGTGGCACTGACCCTACCCTACCCTGCCGTGCCATGCCCGCCATCTCCCAACTGGTCCCCACACTTCAGGCAGTACTGACCCTACCCTGCCGTGCCTGCCATTTCCCAAACGGTCCCCACACCTCAGGCAGTACTGACCCTACCCTGCCGTGCCCGCCATTTCCCCAACGGCCCCCACACCTCAGGTGGCACTGACCCGACCCGACCCGACCCTGCCCTGGCCCGCCGTCTCCCCAACGACCCTTGCCCCCGGCGTCGCAGCCTGTTCCCCTCCTCGCACCGATAGCCCCACAAACACGGCACCGACAGCAGGTAATTCCTGCGCCGTTTAGGGGAAAGGACTAATTTAGTCAGTTAATTCCGCCCCCCACCCTCCCCAAGAGGCGGGGGAGGGTACATGCGCGTTGCCATGGGTGCCGGAGGAGCACCCAGAAAGTTGCGGCTGCCATTTCCCAAACGGTCCCCACACCTCAGGCAGTACTGACCCTACCCTGCCGTGCCCGCCATTTCCCCAACGGCCCCCACACCTCAGGTGGCACTGACCCGACCCGACCCGACCCTGCCCTGGCCCGCCGTCTCCCCAACGACCCTTGCCCCCGGCGTCGCAGCCTGTTCCCCTCCTCGCACCGATAGCCCCACAAACACGGCACCGACAGCAGGTAATTCCTGCGCCGTTTAGGGGAAAGGACTAATTTAGTCAGTTAATTCCGCCCCCCACCCTCCCCAAGAGGCGGGGGAGGGTACATGCGCGTTGCCATGGGTGCCGGAGGAGCACCCAGAAAGTTGCGGGAGAGGGGCGGGGAGAAGGGGGCCGGGCTGTCCGCCGGGGCTGACTGGCCGCTCGGCGCCGCGCTCAGAGCCCCGGGGCCAGCTACTCCCGCGGCAGCGGCTGTTTAGCCCACCTGCCGCCATCGTCTGGGGGCGGCGGGAAGCGAGGAGGGAGGAAGGAAAGGGATAAACTTTAAACTTGGCCGGGGCGGGCGGGGAGCCGCATGGATGCCGCCGTCCCTCGCTACTGACCCGCAGCCCGCGGTACGCTGTGGGGCGGCCGCTACCAGAGGAGCACCGGGCGCCTCCGCGCCGCTTCTTCCGCCGCCGGCCATGGTGCGTGTGGGGCGCGGGGCTCGGCCCGGCCTCTGAGAGCG